CCCGCTGCCTCGGTCGCTGTGCTGCACTGGCTGTGCTGGTCTGAAGGTGTTCTGATTCCTGAGGACGGAGAGGACTTACCGGCTACCATAGCTGTGCAGTGGTGAGGGTGACAGAACCAGAGACCTTCGAAACACCGAGCTCCTTTGTTACCCGTAGTCCCAGAAATTGCTGTGCCCCTGGGTGAAGGGTTTGGGAAGGGTTTCTCTCTGACTCGGCAGTGTCTTCCAAGCCAAGACAGATCCATTCCTTGAGTGTAAGTGGCCTTAGGGGTTTTCATAACCCATTTAAGCCGAAGGCCAGGCTCTACTCTCAGCAGTGTGGACTGATTAGGAAAACAGTTTGGTATTGGGACCAGCAGTTAGCGTAATGGTGATGTCGCTGGATTCCCATGTAGTTGACTGCAGTTCGTGTCCTGGACCCGGTGGCTTAAACTCACGCCAGGTGCATGTGCAGTGCTGCCACTGGGCCACCGGTCTCAAGCCTTGCTCCCCTCTGAGAGGAGGGTGCTGGAGCCCGTTTATAGTGGGGGAGGAAGTAGCTTTTGCTGCTGTGTAGTTGTGTTTGTTATTTACAAAGCTGTCAAGGCAGACAAAACATAGACCCTGAGGACTTTGGAGGCCCTGCTCCAGTACACCCGAGTCCTTGACACCAGCTCTGTAAATTTGTGCTTTAAAAATATGGCCTTCTGGCCAGCAGGTGGCATCATGACTGAGGTGCGGGACTCCCACGTCGCCAACTGCAGTTGGAGTCCCGGACCCAGTGGCTTGGCATTTACGCAGGGCACATAATGTGTCCATGCCCAGAGTCCTGAGAGAAGAATGGTGGACAGGGGATTGTGGCAGTCTTCCCAGGGGGCGGGGGAGGGGGAGTTTTTGCTTTCTGTCTCTGGTGAGTGTGCATGCCCCATAGCAAAAATCCCTTTAAAAAAAAAAAATAGCGAGGACCAGCAGGTGGCATGGTGGTTAAGGAACTGGACACTCCCACATGGCCAACCAGGGTTCGAGTCCTGAATCTGGTGGCTTGCTTTCTCACTTCCTTTCTCTCTCACCCTCTATCTCTCTCTGGTCAAATTAAAAAATGAATGAATGGGGACCAGCAGTTAGTGTAATGGCTATGTCGCTGGACTCCCACGTAGTCAACTGCGGTTCGTGTCCCGGACCCGGTGGCTTAAAACTCATGCCGGGTGCGTGTGTGTGTGTGTGCCCAAGATCCCGAGAGGAGAATGGAGGAGAAGGGATTGCAGCGTGGCCATCCCCCCTGGGGGGTGATTTCTCACTTTCTGTCTCTATGTCTCTGTCTGTCTGGCGACTGCACGCGCCCTATAGCAAAAACCTCTCCAAAAAATAAATAAATAAGTAAAATAAAATAAATAATTATTTTAAGAAACCGTCTGATAGGTGCAGTCTGAAGATCTGGAGAAAAGGGGAAATGGAGGGGGGTGGCAGGTGTGTGTGGTTAAGGGCGCTAGACTCCTACTTGGTCCAAGTACCAGGTCCAGGACTCAAACCACAGTCGGCCGTGTGGGAGTCTAGCGCCACCTGCTGGCCCCAGACTCTGGAATACCTTTAAACAGAATATGTAGAAAATATTTCAGACCCAAATAAAAAACAGTGTAACAATTACCCCAGCCTAAGAAGAAAACACGAGGACAGCGGAAGTCCCTGGGCACGCCTCCCAGTCACTGTCCCTAACCCTCCCGCTGCCCCTCACCCTGCTCTGTCCACACCAGCACTGACACACCGTTCTGCGCTCAGGTGTCCCCGCCTCGTCTGCCGCCTGCCCCGCGCCGTCTCAGGCATTGCTCTCCCAGCCCGAGGGTGAGCAGGGGAATGGCGGGGAAGAGCCTCACGGGTTCGCCCACTCCCCCTTCCCTCTGGGATGTCTGAGTCTGGTGCTTTCTCACGTCTGAAACCCACTCCCTCCATGGGGGCCCAGCATGACCGCGGCAGCGGAGGCGGTGGAGGCGGGGGGAGGCGGGAGGGTCCCCA